CTTGAAATAGAAAAGGCCACTTATGTTTTCACATTAAACTTGTATATATATTTGAACTCAAAGTGAAAGGAAACAAACGTGTATTTGTTGGCGTCATGACCAAGATTATTATATTCAAACAAAAAAAAGATGAAACCCTTTATCTTACCTCATTCGTTTTCTGGGGGAAACTTGTTCCATCCTGAGCTAAAGTAGAACTCTTCTCAAACAGAGTTTCGCGAAGAAAAGTGTTTTGATTAGGAATGATCTGGATAAGGTTGGGGTATATATTGGCCAGATTTTGAGTTAGAAGAGGATTCTGACTGGCCATGACGTGACTGAGGAAGGAATTTTGATTTGTCATGGCTTGAACACATGCTACGAGTAGCTTCCAGCACTGAAGTTCGATGGGCATATTGAGAAATTCGCTGCTCGTGGTTATGTTATTGTTTTGTTCTCCAATTGGTTGGTTACTAGAATTTGAGAAACTCCCTTGAACCAATAAATCCTGATGTGAAGAAATGGTTGGTTTTTCCTTAACGAGGGGTGCTTGTTGCAGGTCACTAGTGCAGATCCCCTGAGATAGTGGAACTTGCTGTTTGACATTAATATCGTTAATCTCTGACGAGGGGTGCCTCTGTGGGACACCAGTGCAGGTCCCCTGAGATAGTGGAACTTGCTGCTGAACACCAATAGTGCTCGTCTCTGATGAGATAATCTTTTTTGGAGCATCAGTGCAGATCCCCTGAGATAGTGAAACTTGCTGTTGGATATTGATATCGTTAACCTCTGACGAGGAGTGCTTCTGTGGAACACCAGTGCAGGTCTCCTGAGATAGTGGAACTTTCTGCTGAACACTAGTATCATTAATTTCTGAAGAGGGGAGTCTTTGTGGAGCATCAATGGAGATCCCCTGAGATAGTGTAATTTCCTGTTGAACACTAGTATCGTTAATCTCTGACGAGGGGTGCCTCTGTGGAACACCAGTGCAGGTCCCCTGAGATAGTGGAACTTTCTGCTGAACACCAATAGTGCTTGTCTCTGATGAGGTAATCTTTTTTGGAGCATCAGTGCAGATCCCCTGAGATAGTGTAATTTGCTGTTGAACACTAGTATCGTTAATCTCTGACGAGGGATGCTTCTGTGGAACACCAGTGCAGGTCTCCCGAGATAGTGGAACTTTCTGCTGAACACTAGTATCGTTAATCTCTGAAGAGGGGAGTCTTTGTGGAGCATCAGTGGAGATCCCACGAGATAGTGTAATTTGGTGTTGAACATTAGTATCGTTATTCTCTGATGAGGGGAGCCTCTGTAGAACACCAATGTAATTCCCCTGAGATAGTGGAATTTGCTGCTGAACACTAATAGCGTTAATGTCTGATGAGGGGAGCCCTTTTGTAGCACAAGTAAAGTCTCTTTGAAGCAATGGAACTTGATAAGATGTATTTGTGAAATTCCCCTGAGGAAATAGTACTTGTGGAATGCTAATAGAATTCCTTTGAAGCAGTGGTACTTTCTGTGGATCACCAGTACAAATACTTTCTGAGAGTGACTGTGTAACATTAGAAAAGTTCCCCTGGGGGAGTTGTACTTGATATGGAACATTACTGGGACTCTCCTGAATATGTGGTACTCGCTGTGAACCACTTTTAGTAATACTTTCCGAGAAGGACACTGTTTGTGGAATGCTAATAGAATTCCTTTGAAGCAGTGGTACTTTCTGTGGATCACCAGTACAAATACTTTCTGAGAGTGACGGTGTAACATTAGAAAAGTTCCCCTGGGGGAGTTGTACTTGATATGGAACATCACTGGGACTCTCCTGAAAATGTGGTACTCGCTGTGAACCACTTTTAGTAATACTTTCTGAGAAGGACACTGTTTGTGGAATACTAGTAGAATTCCTTTGTAAGACTACGGATTGACTTCCTAGTATTGACGGGGTCGAAGTTTCATCACTTGTAGTCTTCTGTGAAGATGTCGTTTCTGCTGTAGGTAGTACCTTCGGACGTATTTTCCTAAACCTTCTTTGGACCAAGGTTTGTCTGGAAGAACTGTTGTAACCTTCTGCCATTTTGTTGAAAAAGGCATACGTGGTTTGACCTAAGGATTGTATTCGTTCACCATTATGGCCTAGAGGTACTGCGTTTGTAGAGCTATTAATTATTTCGACTCTGTGAGGTGGATTAAAAAACTGAGTTTTTGGAACCTGATTGCCTGGGACAATTATGGCTCCACTTGTTGCGTAAGTAAAAGAAGTATTTGGTAAATCAACCACAGATCCTTTATCTGTCAACATTTGGTTTTGTTGTTGAATATTACCTGCCTGATCTCTTTGAGATAATGTTTTCGAATCGTTAGACAGAGAGTCATTTTGTACAAGATTTCTGTCAAGACTTTGGTTCATCTGGCGACACGAAACCGATTTGGGTTGGTCAATGAGTTCAATTGAACCAGAAACAGGGTGAACTGGAGTATCTTCTGTACACGAAGGTTTTTTAACACTTTCCCCTTTTTCTTGTTTTTCTAGAGCTGCAGGTAAAGTTTCTCCTTTCTTATATTTTTGCATCTTTTTTTTAGTTAAGTGAGCAATTAAAGCTTGCTTATGATACATACGTTTTAACTTTTCTTCCTTCTGTTTCTTGAATTGTTGAATCAATGCCTTTTCTTTTTCCTTTTGATCTGCCATCAAATCCAAGTAGAAAATTTCTCTTTTCAACCTTTCCACCTTATCTTCTATTGGTGTAAATTCAATTTGTTGCTTTTCTAAAATGTTTTCGAAGTGTTTTTCCTTTGAAAAATTTTCCTCCTCAAAAATCGTTCTTCGATCTAAAAGGCCGAAAGAGTCATTTTCTAAACAGTGATAATTATCACTGGAAGAATATTTTTCGAATTCGTTAACAGGCAAAGTTTTTGTTTTATTTGGACGTGAAACATGCACAGATGTAGCGTTCTTTTTGAAAACATTTGGTTTAGTTGATGCAGAGTTATTATTTACAATATTCTGTTCACTAGGTGGCGCCACCAATTTCCTATTGTTTAGGAGTTTTAAAAGGACCGATTCTCTCAAGATATCTTTTGGATGAGGAGACCATTTGGAATTTTTAGAATCATGCACCACTAAGTCTCTGGACTCTTTGTTATTAGTTGTCCAGGTTTTTCCTGCACTATGTCTTGATTGAGTTGTTCTCTCTTCACATCCAAACTGGCTATTTTTTCTATGTATATCAGAATTAGTCTTAAGCACTGTTTCCTCTCTGGAGCCCTTTGATGTCACCGATTCTAAGTAAATAAAATGGAGGACTTTAACGTAATTTACCACAAACTTACAACTTGAATACATAAATGTTTAGGCAGCTAGATGTAATGTGAGAAAATTCATTTTGTAAAAATAAAAACATGCCAGCTTTACCGTGAATACTGAATGTTAACCTATCTTTTAATGTGGTGTTTAGGCTAGTTTTAAATAATGTGGCGTTTGGACGAGTTTTAAATAATGTGGCGTTTGGACGAGTTTTAAATAATGTGGCGTTTGGACGAGTTTTAAATAATGTGGTGTTTGGACGAGTTTTAAATAATGTGGTGTTTAGGCTAGTTTTCATTATTCAAATAATACAGTATCAAGAATACAAGTTTCTGATACTACTGCTTCATGTAATGAAGACAATTTAACTACCCGTTTGATCACGTCTATCCATCACGTCCCAGGGACACTCAAACAGGTTTGTATTAGAATTCCCATTCGTTCCCAATAGTAGAGTTTGACTTTTAGTGTTCAGTATGTGGTACAGTAGGGGTTTCATATGTTGTTGATTCGACATGTACTAAAATAGGAATATCAGGTGCTGTTGTTTCAACATGTGCTAAGATAGGGATTTCAGGTATCGTTGCTTCAACGTGAACTGGAATGGGGATTTCGGGTGTTGTTGATTTAATATTTCTTAGGAGTGGGATTTCGGCTGTTGTTTCAACATGTGTTAGGATAGGGATTTCAGGTATCGTTGCTTCAACGTGAACTGGAATGGGGATTTCGGGTGTTGTTGATTTAATATTTCTTAGGTGTGGGATTTCGGCTGTTGTTTCAACATGTGCTAGGATAGGGATTTCAGGTGTTATTACTTAAACATGAACTAAAATGGGGATTTCGGGTGTCGATGATTTAATATTTGTTAGGTGTTACAGGTTCAACATAAACCGGAATGGGGATTTCATATGTTCTGAATTCAACAAATGTCAGAATGGATATATTAACTATTGAATTTTCCAATAAAACAAATCTCTCTAGGGAAAACGTGGGACTAAAACCCAGTTACAGGAAGAGCTACCAGTTATTCGAAACTTTCAAACAAAACCCGCTTACAATCTTGCTCGGATACAAAGCCGAAGGTGCTGACAAATAAAACGAAAATCTTTCACCTTCAGTTATGTTTAATGTGATAACAACACAATTTCTAAACCTTCGTGCTGCATACAAGTGTTTGGTTTACAAGGGCACCAAGGCGTAAATTAATTCGTTTAACAAAGAACTCTTAAACTAATATACAAAGAGTGTGTAAACATCGAGGATCGAGTCTTTCACTTTGATACAGCAAACTGTTGCAGTCTTGGGAGCTGGTATAGTCTACTTTCTAAAGCTCATATCTCAACATCACAAAAAAAAAAAAAGTCAGACATTTGATTTCAAGGTTGTTAATAGAGGTGGGAACCCCTTTTCTGGTATAAATGTTCGGTGAAATTCGTCTAATAAAAAAATTAAAAAAAAACTGACCAGTGACACCTAATTAAAAATGTTAATTACCACTTGACATAATTCTATCACGATTAATTAAAACCATCATTCTTTTGTTGGAGGTGGGCCATCATCCTATTGTTTGGGGGGGGGGGGGGGAAGTTAGAAGGATACATTTTCAAAGCAGTTTCTTATAACTGACGTCCGAAAAAAACATTATATTTCTAGCAAGTTTAATTGTCTGTTATAATTTTAATTTGTCTAAAACGTTATCTATTTAAAAAGGAGGAAATATATTTCGTTGGGTGAGGCAATGGTGGTCAGAATTTATTTGATTGGAGGAACAGACATCAATCGATTCACAAGTCGAGGGATTTTAAAGTGTTATTTGAATCTAAAGATCTGTTTCACGGGGCTTTTTACTCCGGATGAAATACTTGTTACGGTCATGTTTTCTGAAGCATATTATTTCCGACGTTTCGTTAATACACTAATATGATTCATACTCACTAGTTAAGTCTATGGGAGATTTTATCCTCACGTGAGGAATTTCCTCACAACTTTCCTCGGGGTGACTGACCCCTGTGTGCGTCACTTTGGCTATTTCACGTCCACTCTTTGTAAAAATATATTTAGAATATTTCCGTAAGCTGCTTATTTCTTCCAATTCTGGCATAGACTTCGACGCGCTAGGACTGCCGGGAGAAAAACTGAAATAAATAAAGATTTATTAGCATAGTGATTAGACAACTACTTCAACAGAACACGTGGAAATGTTTTTACAGTGTTGCAATTTTCTTTGTGTGTGTGTGTGTGTGTGTTTTTTTGTTTGTTTTTTTTATTGGGTGGGGTAATAAAAAATAGTTCGTTAAAAATACTTCATTTACGTAACCCCTTGCCCTATACGGGCAACAGTTTATTTTACATCCCATTGTGTAGCCTTACGCTAGACGACAAACAATTGTTTTTATGATGAGATAATAGAATCTGGTAATTAATCATGTTTCCCGAGGTTGGTAAATAATTATTACCTAAAATATGGCAATACATTTACCTCGTTTCCTGCATGCCTGTAGCAAGGGGTAATTTTCCATCACTTCTTCTACTTGAAGCAAAGGTTTCCTGC